CCAGGCGGGTCCGAAACCCCCGGACTTAGGCAATCCACTCACCTCAGCCTCCCAAAGGCGTGGGATTACAGGCTGAGCCACCGAGCCCGGCTATGTTTTATTTCTTAAGTGGGGTCATAGGTTCATGTGAATGAGAAGTGAAAAAGTCGGGACAGAAATACAAATAAAAGAGTCAATTACTATTAAGAAAAAGGAGAAAAGAAAAGCAGTGTAGTAACCTCAGAGCAACCATGAGAAGAGCAAGAGTATATATTTTAAGATAAATTCACCTGAACATATTTATAAGCTGAATAGCAGAAAATGATTTGAAAATCTATGTGTAACTAAGGCAATTGAAGAATCAATATCTCTGCATAAGATGAGTTCAGAGCATAAGAGGAAGAATTTATTTACACAAATAAGATTTTTTGAGTGAAAACAGAATTCAAGAGGTAAACATGAGTGTAGCTGCAGATTAGTCTAAAGAATCAGGGTCACTACCTGATTCTTAAGATTAGTTAATTCACCCATTCATTTCATTATTCATTCATTTAGCCATATATTCATTCATTAAATGTGTGTTGAATTTGTCTTTGAAAATGTAGTCATTCGGAGTCAATAAAGTCATTTTTGCTCTGACTTTTTAATGTGTGTCATAGATATCTGTGTTTTATCAGGTTTTATTTTTCTAATTTTAAATTCTAATTCCTTTCCAAGTCTACTACTACCATTTTATTAAATATTAAACATCCTGTGCATGTTTCTTTTTTGTGAGGAAATAATTTTTATGTGTTGTATATGTCTTTTTATGTGGCTCTATATACTTGGAAGTTACTGTTGGATCCAATTGCAGGTTTTAAAAAAGGAAAAAGAAAGAAAAATTACCCCCTGCTTCTATTTCCTTTCTATTATATGAGGAACTTTTCCAATCCTAGGTCTCTCTAAAATCTAGTTCACATAGTGCTCATCAGTATAGCAGGAGAGGTTCTCTTTACATCCTTTCCTGACTCCAGTCCCTTGGGCATATATGCTGCTGGGATCACTGAAGCCCATGAACTCTCATGGGAGTCCCCTGTCTCTTGCCACGATCTTAAATGACCCTGTGATCCCCTGGACCCTTCTGAAGAAGTTCTGCTAAGCTGTGCTGGGCAACTGCTGGCTGAATCTTCTGTAGTACACTACGAGGTTGTACAGTGCTATCATTAAACTGTTCTGAAACAGTTTCAAAGAAGAGTAGATAAAACCCCCCTGCCTTTGAACCATATTTTGTTTGCTTGATTCCTGTTGTTCCTTATCTTTCCTCTGTCTCCGTAGACACTTTGTGATATCACAAATTCTTTTAACCCTTGGGCAGAAAGGAAAACCAAGTATCTCTTTCCATCTTTTTTCTAGCCTGATTTAAAAACCTTGCTTTTCATAGGTGTGGTGACCTCGTGAAAGGGGAGGGAAGCAGTGTTCCCCTAATTTGTCACATGGGTCATAGAATTGCTTTTCCCTAGATACTGAGAAGAACTCTCTGGAAGACAGTCTCTCCCCACGTAGCTATTCCCTGAGAAGCCTAGAGTTGTGGCTGTAGATATGACATTCCTACTTGTGCTACAGAATAATAAAGATGAATTTGGAAAAGAGGAGGTGACCCTCTTGTTTTCTTGAAGAGGTGAGTATGGAGTGAGGGGTCAGTTCTGTACTTTGGGGTATGAGTGATTGCCTTTGTTTGCTAGATATTTGGGGAGAGTCTCATATTATTATTATTTACTCTTATATATCATTTTCTGATAGATCTAAATGAGGAAGGAGTTGCAGAAACCTTGCTAAGGTTGTGGAAACACATGGGGTAGGGGAAAAGACCATAACTCAGGAATGGAGAGTTTTGCTGAGTTTGTGTCCTAGGACTAGAGTCATAAGATAAAAAACACATTAATTAATTATTTTATTAAATTTTTCTGGGTCACTAGCCTTATAATTATTTTTACCTTTACTGATTTCTGAGTTAATTCTAATCTATATTTAGTGGAGTCAGGAAAGGTCTTTAAGAATAAAAAATTCCAGTTTCGAGACCCACCCAGGCAATTGACGAGACCTTGTCTCTACAATAAATCGAAAAAATTAGCTGGGCGTGGTAGCGCACGCTTGTAGTTCCAGCTCCTTGGAAGGTTGAGGTGGAAGGATTGCCGGAGCCCAGCAGGTCACGGCTGTGGTGGCCGGGAGCGTGCCACTGCACTCCAGTCTGGGCAACAGAGTGAGACACCAACTCAAAAAAAAAAAAAAAAGAATAAAGAAATGCAAAGACGATGCCAGCTCCAAGAAATGGAACTTATAATTGAGATTCTGGGCTATCCATTCCTCCAGAAAATATAGGAGTCCTATTAGTATGATTTTGCCTTAATATAAAATTGTCCCCCTATGCACATTTTTCCCTTCTTAAAGACTCAAGTTCCTAAACACCTACCAATTTTTTCCTTTTTCAGGTTTCAATGTTCTAATTCCAAACCGTACTGGACATAATGCTAGCTTTTCTGTTTATCTCCCTACTGCCTCTGAGAAAGCAACAGAAAAATTACAAGGGTGTCATTTTCTATCATATCAGAAAAGCATATTGGGGATAATAAAATCAAAACATATTGGGATATCAAAATAATTTTAAAATCTCATATGCATTCATATTATCTGTCATGGTTAGAAACTCAGAAATGATTCAGAAGCCTATGGAGATCCTCCACAGGATACTTGGACAGAGGACTAATAGCTTTGCATTTATGATTATCTCAGTAGCTAAGTGTAGATTGAATTGGAGCAATACAAGTCCGAAAACAATAAGCTCAGATAACAGTAATTAAGACAAGAAATGGTCAAAGTATAAATTATTTTTATGAATCTCTATTTTTTATGTAGACATTTTCTGAAAGACAAAGAAAGATTTTTTTTCTCTCGTATTGTCTCAACATAGATGTAATACTCTGCTGTATCTATATAATGCAAGAAAAAAAAGTCTTTGTTTTCCATGTGCCAGGCTGACTTCCTAATTTATATAGCCTCTGGTATTGGGGTTTCAAAATAATTTTGCCTATTTATTATATCTTTTGGCAGTTCACAATGATCTGACTATTTTTGGTAGGTATTAGGATCTTTCTCCATTTAGAGATCCCATCTCCAATAACCTTAGTACCAAGTAAAGGTGTGTCAGAATTCTGCCATGCAAACATTTATTAGCAAACATGCACCAAAAACCTACTATTAAACCTATTCTTGGGGACTCATGGACGTCGTAACTCTATATTCTTTAAAGGTTTTTTGATAAGTAGAATAAATGAATGTTTCTTTCAAAGACAGAATGTAAGAAAGTTCTCACCAGTAGAAAAGCTAGCTTTCTAATGAGATTAGGTGATGTTCTCTCATTAAGGCAGGAGCACAGGAATTCATGGATGATGTGCCTATTGTACCCCTGCAAGTGTTATAGGCTACTTGGCTCATCATGTTCTTACATCCCTTCACGCAAGGGATTAGGTATATTTTAGTCAATCAACATATCACTTAGTTTTTCATCAAAACATTTTTTTCGTATGCCAGTGATTCTCAACTGGTGTGATATATATATATATATATATATATATATATATAATTTAATTTTTTTTTTTTTACCCACTTCTCCCCTGCAGGGACATTTGGCAATTTTTAGATCCAAATAGTTGTCATGACAGAGAAAAGGATTCGGACTATTGACAACTACGGGGTATAAACCAGGAGTTTTGCCAAACATTCTATAATGTGCAGGATAACCTCCTATCCACCTCAAACCAAGATTTATCTATTCCAAAATGTTAAGAGTGCTCAAGTTGAGAAACCAGCCTTGTGCTTATTAATATACTCTTTAGTGTGGATACAGATAAGGATATATAAAGCTTTGCCAAACCTGCCTCTGGAGGTGTACTGTTGATTAAAGTCTCCCGACTGACACTAAGTTACTCATAGAATGAGATTTCCAGATTAGTGTACCTCAACTATTCACTAATACTCTTTAGAGTGTAGATTTGATTATTTGTACACACAGATATATCACAAGGGTTTAAGCTGTGTGTACTAAAGTAATTTATATTCAATATAATCTTTGGATTTTTCTTTATTTTATTTTATTTTATTTTATTTTTTGAGTTGGAGTCTCACTCTGTCGCCCAGACTGGAGTGCAGTGGCCGCTCCCAGCCACTGCAGCCTCGCCTGCTGGGCTCCGGCAATCTTTCTGCATCAGCCTTCCGAGTAGCCAGAATTACAGGCATGCGCTACCACATCCGGCTGATTTTTAGATTTATTGTAGAGATGAGATCTTGCTGCCCAGGCGGGTCTCGAACCCGCGGGCTTAGGCAATCCACTCACCTCAGCCTCCCAAAAGCGTGGGATTATAGGCTGAGCCATCGAGCCTGGTGGATTTTTCTTTTTATTCAGTTGTTAACGATGAGACAGCCCAAGGGAAGAGGGGAAACCACATTTTAGCTTTAAAGATGCTCACTTTAAAGGGTCGTATTATTACCCTCAGGGGATATAATTTTGTCACAATTCATTCTGTATCCTCAACATTTCATCTTTCAAAATAAAAGTGCCTACTTAATTTATTTTTAATTTACTATTATAACAAACATCCAGTTAATATTGTTGTGCTTCTTTTTTTGTATATTTAAAACATTTTCCCTAGGCTACATGGTGAAAGGCAGGTTCTAGACAGTTTGAAGCTCTCAATAAAAATTGCCAAATCAGCATTCAACAGAGTTCGTACCAATTTCTCTAAATAGCAAAACTGTTTGCTTATACAGTAGAATAGTTGACAGCATTAAATATTATAATAACTAAAAAGAATTTGCAAATTTGACAGGCTCACTTTATAACTTGAGAAACAACTCACATTGTATATTTTATTTAATCAACTTAATTTCAAGGCCATTCAGCTGTTTGAAAAGTTTTCATTTGTTCTTTGGATGTACTTAAAGTTCTGACTGTGTTTTATCAGCCAACAAATAAAACCATTGAACATATGGATCTGGTGAATCAGACAATAGTGACTGAGTTTTATTTCTCTGATTTCCCTCAATTTGAGAAAGGTAGCCTCTTATTCTTCATTCCTTTGCTCTTTATTTATGTGTTCATTATTGTTGGAAATTTCATAATTTTCATTGCTGTCCGGCTGGACACTCATCTCCACAATCCCATGTACAACTTTATAAGCATCTTCTCTTTCCTGGAGATTTGGTACACCACCGTGACCATTCCCAAGATGCTCTCTAACCTGGTGAGTGAACAGAAGACCATCTCTTTCACTGGCTGCCTCTTGCAGATGTATTTCTTCCATTCACTTGGGGTCACAGAAGCCCTTGTCCCCACAGTTATGGCTATTGACAGGTATGTTGCCATCTGTAACCCTCTGCATTATGTAATCATTATGACCCCTCGACTGTGCATTCAGCTATCCTCTGGCTCTTGCATCTTTGGCTTCCTTGTGTTACTACCAGAGATTGTGTGGATTTCTACTCTTCCCTTCTGTGGCCCCAGCCAAATTCATCAACTCTTTTGTGACTTTGAACCTGTGCTACGCTTGGCCTGTACAGACACGTCTGTGATTCTGGTTGAAGATGTGATCCATGCTATTTCCATCTTGACCTCTGTCTCCATCATCACCCTTTCCTATTTAAGAATCATCATCGTGATCCTGAGAATTCCCTCCAGTGAGAGTCGTCAGAAGGCATTCTCCACCTGTGTGTCCCACATCACTATTTTCTTGCTGTTTTTTGGCAGTGTAACACTCATGTACCTTCGGTTCTCTGTCACATTCCCACCACTACTGGACAAGGCCATTGCACTGATGTTTGCTGTCCTTGCCCCATTTTTTAACCCAATAATCTACAGCCTGAGGAACAAAGACATGAAGGACGCCATCAAGAAACTCCTCTGCTCTCAAAAGATATTCATTGTCTCTAGGAACTAATCTGTTCAAAGAAATCTCATCATCTCCTTAAGTTTAAAATGCTAACAAATCAGTTTCCAAAACTACTGTGTACCTTTTATTTCCTGCTTCTGCCTGGGTGTTCTCTCTAATTTTCTAATGTAAGAACTATTGTATGATCTGACAGAGAAAGTCTGTTGCAGATTTACCTATCTTTCCATCATTCACAGTGTATAACGGAATATTATCTCCATTTTGTAACTCCAAATACTGTGGTATCATCGTCTCCAAATCATTAGAGAATACTGGCCTAAACAATAATTTTTTTATTATTTACATATCTAAATGTTTCCCTTATGTCCTTTTCATTTTATATTCATGGTAGCCATATGTCAATTATTATTATTTTTTCATGTTACAAGGATTAACAAGAAGCATAGCAGTGAGGTGATTTTGGCTTGAGGAAAAAAGTCTGATTGCCTAACATTCAGCCGAAAGACCTCTATCCCTCTACAGGTTGTCCTCTGTTATTTTGTAATAATTATATAGCACATATAGTCACTGACTTTGTGATGTTTGTGTAATGCAGTTACAATCAACTCCTTTGTGGATTAATTTTCACATTGTTTTGAAGATTACAGAGCAAATCCTCTTGGGTGCTTGGAGATTACAGACTTGGGACCAAAAATTACCAGTATGCATCTTATACAAAGATATACAGTTATACCTGGTATTTTAAAAATAAATATCACTATTATTAAAAATTTTCCATGCTGTGTTAAAATGCCTTGCACCTTCATACCTCAATGTCTTTGTCACATTGTAGTTTGGCACTGAAATGTTCCTTCCTTCTTCTCTGCTTTGGAACTTATACTCACTGTTTTAAAGTTCACAAATATCATTATTTGGGATAAATGTCCCTTTCTTCCACAAAACTACACTAGTCATTTTAGGGGCTGAGTAAATTGTCTGTAGAAAAAGAGTTCTGCTCAACTCCTAGAGAGAAAAGCAAAGTGTGGATTGTCAGTGGAGCTACAAAGTCCAGGAGGCCAGCTAGAGGTGTGGGGAGAAGACTAGGAGGTCCTGAATGGAATTATCAGTAATATTGTACTTCTCTGCTGCTTCTCCCTAAAACCTCACAATCAGCTGTGTCTACTTGGGAGTGCTAAAGTGGAAGAAAGACCTTGCTCCCTACTTCAAGTCTACTGCAGACCCTGCTCTCTGTTCCTTCCCATGCCTTAAAGACTCAGCCCTATGCTTTGTCCTTCTCACTCCTGTATCATCAAATCTTCTCCTACTTTAATATGAACTTTTTAATACCCATGACAACAATTTTTGCATAAAGAAAATTATTTGTAAGTTTAAGTGTATTTGAGGGAGCATTCAGCAGCTGAGGTCTTTTATCTATGAATTCTTGCTTAAAAGCCTTAGTATTCCATTCATAAACCTAATAGATTTTATAATTTATTTTTATGAAGTGTTTGACAATGATTTCTTTCTGATTCAGAAACTTGTCAATTAATTCTCTTTGATTCATATTTGAATATGATAAATCCAATTTTGTTTTTAAGTACTTCAGATTTCTGACTTAATTAAGAAAAAACTTACTGGGCCTTGTTTTGCTTTTTTCTTTCTTGCTTTTTTTTTTTTTAAGTAACCTTCATAATTTATAAAAGAAAATTATAAATATGGTTAACCCTAAATCCTTTTAAATGTTTCAATTTCAACTTAAAAGAGCAAGCTTGATATCTTGATTAAATGTATACTTTTTATTGACTGTAAATTTTATCTCAGTAAAGTTGATGTTTAAAAAAATTTAAGTCAATTGCTCAATTTCGAATTTAAAATTAGAATTACTAGGTAGGCCTGGTAATACAATAGGTCAATCTATCTTAAGATAATTATAAAAATAATAAATATATATAAATTTCTTAGTATAAAATATGTATAATGGGATTTGATTCCCTTAAATATTTTTATTATTAGTTCTAAAATGTTGCTAATCTTCTAAAGAAATAATTGAGGCCAGGAGCAGTGTCTCACGCCTATAATCTTAGCACTTTGGGAGGCCAAGGCTAGAGGGGATTGCCTGAGCCCACAGGTTTGAGACCAGCCTGGGCAACTTGGTGAGACCTCATCTCTACCATAAATCAAAAAATTAGCTAAAGTGGTGGCACGAGTCTGTAGTTCCAGCTACTTGGAAGGCTGAGGTGGAAGGATCACCTGAGCCCAGCAGGTCAAGGCTGCGGTGGCCGTGAGTGTGCCACTGCACTCCAGTCTGGGTGATAGAGTGAGATTCCAACTCAAAAAAATTCATAAGAAATAATTGTATAAACCATTTTTTGCTATTGTTCATGTAACAAATATTTGCTGAGGCTACTTTGCCAGACACCATTTTAAGTGCTTGAGATATAACTGACAAAGTATTCTCTGTACTTATGTAGCTTACACTGTAATAAAGTGAGATTTTTTAAAAAAACATTAAAAATTAGCAAAAAATGATGAACAATTACATAAAACTATGTGTTCTATGGGATTATATGTGGGTAGAAGATTATAAATTTAAATAGATTGGTCAAGTTAAACTTCATTTTAAGGTCACATTTGAATAAAGATTAGAAAAAAATGGAGTCAGTCATGTGGATATATATATATAGAGAGAATAATCCAGGCAACAGTAAGAGCTAGTGAAAACACTTTAAGGTGGACAGATACTTGGCCTCTATAAGTAGTCAGGAACCCACTCTGGTGGAAATGAAGTGGGAGATGAGTCTGTAAAACTAGAAGATAAGTTCAAGAAAAAAAAAAAAAAGAGAGAGATGGATCATATAGAGCCTTGAAGCCTATTACAAGATTTAGATTGTTCTATTTGACTCTAAGAATTGGGGTGGCATTGATGAGTTTGGAGCAGAGAGATGATGTGATTTTTGATTTCCCAGAATTAGACTTGCTTCCATGTTGAGGTGACACTGAATAGAGGTTATTAGCTCCTTAGGGAGCTATTATTGCACTAATCCTGGTGAGAGATAATGGTAGTTCAGATCAAACTAGTAGAAATGAAGATGGACAAACAGGATCCAGTTATAGATATAGTTTGACAACAGGGCCAATAAAATTTCTTAATAGACTGAAAAGACAATGTGAAACAAAGTGGGCGGTCAAGAATGACCAACTGGAATGACAGTTGCCATTAACTAAGACATAGAATATCTCAGGAAGATGTCAGAAGGAGAAATATCAGAAGCTTGGTTTTGCATATTTTAAGTTTAACTGGACAATTAAACATCTACAAAAATATTGAGTAAGCTGTTACATGAGTTAGATACTCAGGAGTGAAGGCTAGGATGGTAATATATGTGCAGTTCATTGGCACATATTATTTAATGACAGAGACTAGATGAGACCACCAAGAATCTGAGTTTTCTGGCACTCCAATATTGTGGATTTTGGAAAAAGAAGAGAACTCAGAAAATATTATGAAAAAGGAGTAAACAATAAGATAGAAGGCAAACCAAGCGTCCTGAAATCTGAGTCAATAAAATACAACAAGGAGGAAAAAGTGATCGATTTTGTCAAACATTGCTAACAGTCAAGTAAGATAGGAACTGAAAATCGTCCATTGGATTTAGACCTCTGGAGGTCATTGTTAACTTATTTTGAGAAGTTCGCATGGATTGGTAGGGCAAAAACCTAACTGGGGTAGTTTACTAGAAGACTGTCAAAGACAAATTACACATTTCAAGTATGAACAACTTTTTCATAGAGTTTCATTACCAATGAAAGCCAAGAATTAGGTAATAAGGAGCAAATGGGATCATTAAAATACTTTGTTGACTGTGATTCAAAATAAATATATATTTTAAATCATATTTAGAACACACATGCATACATCTACACATTCATATCTACATTTTTAACAGAAAAACATTTTTACAAAACAATACTTAACACTTTATACAATACTTATTATTTTTTCTATTTTGTTTTTCCCTATTCTATTTCATTAAAAACATTTTTGGAACTGAGTTTATCACTTATTCATGGGCTGTGACTCTCAATCTGTAAATAAAATGAAATTAGATCTTTAACTCTGATTATCTTTGACTACAAATTTAATAGATGATTTATATTTTTAATCTTATATTTATCTGTGCTTTCTAATTTGTTTATAATAAAGTATTACATTTTGTTAAAAACCAAGTTTTTTAATATGAAATTTAATTGTGATAAAAAAAGATATGCACTCTGACAGTGTTAGTAGGATGTCAAAATAGTACAATACTTTTTAGAGCAATGTAGCAAGATGAGTCATAAGTATTAGTAAACTTGGATATCCATTTAGAAGGGACTGAAGATTTCCTTGATGAAGTAGCATTGAAGCTAAAACTTGAAGACTGAGAAGGTATCAGTCAGGAAAAAATATATAAGATAAATAATTTGTGCAACTGTCTTGAGTTTACAACAGCTGGGTGCATTGTGGAAACCAAATGTAGGTATGTGGATTATAGGAATCAAATGTAGGCATGGGACACAGGGAGCAAGAGTCATGAGATGAAGGTTAGAGGTAAAATATGTAGAATTTTGGAGGTCATGTTATGAGATTTAACCCAACCTACAAGTTTAATCCAACCTACAAGTGAAGACATTGACGAGAATAAAGACATCGTACTCTTAAAATAAAATTCCTGGTGTGTTATGGATAGTAGATTGGATTGGTATAAAAGCAGAAGTAGAAATGATGATTTAAGAGTCTCTTTTTGTGTTATCTCTTACTATGAAACAAGCCACCCCTAAAATTAATGGTTTAAAACAGAATTTATTTGTTTGTTGCCTAATTTCATGATTGGAAATTTGGGCTAGAGCTAAATGAGTGATTTTCTAGCTCTGGTTTGTTCATGTCAGCAATTGATTGACCAAGGTTGGCTGAACTAGGACAACATTTGCTAAGATAATTAGACTCTTGTTCATGTAGTCTTTTACCTTCCAGAAGGCTGCTGAGTAAAGTGTACTTGGGATTCTGAGGACTAGCCTCAAAACGGGCA